TGGAGCACTGGGTGTTATACGCAAACAATGAATCATGGAACACTACATCAAAAACTAATGATGTAATGTATGGTGATTAACATAACATAATTAAAAAAAAATAGAAGTAGTTGCTAATTAGTTCACAAGAACCAGAAGCTTAACACTCCTGGGTAATTTTTCTCTCTACTCTGTTAAGAGCATTTGTAAGAGAGAAAGGTTGAAGCTGGAATATTCCAAGTTGGGAAGGCCTAGGGAACTAACAAAAAGCGAGAAGCTACTCTGTGACTAACATTAAGAATTTTCTCATGATAACCTGTAAGGTGAGTAGTTGTACAGCTGAGGGAGAAGTGACTTAATTTACCTAAAACTCCACAGTAATTGGGAAGACAGAGATCTGACTCCACCTGAGACCTTGAAGCCCTCTCTTTAACTAGCAACCTAAAGAGAATGAATAAGTAGAGGGTAAATGGCAAATAAGATGTATAAACGATTAAACAGCTGTATACCACAAACTCTTGCTACAAAGATCGGAGACTAAAAAGAAGTTGCCTTTAAGCCAATTTTAGTAGAAAAGGTACTTCTTGGTGACAAAATGTACTTTGACTCAATATGTCATGTATATGAGAAGCCCAGCTGTTTGGAACACAAGGTAATGACCAAGAATACCCTTTGGTGACAGAACGGAAGTCATTAGCCAGCATCGGGAAGATCTCTTTTCAAACCCAACTTGTAAAAGGCTGATCAGTGCAGCAGGTGGCCCAAACAGGGTGGCAGCAGAGTTCTGCAGGGGGAGGCCCCCAGCCTGCTGAGATGGCAATGTTTAACCAGGGCTTGACCCAGACTCTGCTGGCTACGTTTCAGGGTCCTATACCATAGACTAATCTAAGGCTGAGCCTGGCAAACATAGAGACTGGACAAATCTCACCCTCTGCCTGACACTTTTCAAACAGATTACCTCCTAGCTAGAAAAAGCCAAAGGAAGTAGAGCATGGAAGATTAGTTCTTCGGGCCCACAGAGCAGAGAAGAGAACTGAGGCCCATCTCACCTGTACAATGAGTTTCAAAGTTGGTCCTATTGGTGGGAAAATGAGCCCTTTCCATCTGAGGAGAGGCCATTGGAGGAAACATGCATTTCTTCTTTAGTCTATGACCAAGAGCATGGGGTTTGTCTAGTCCTACACAGGTGAGAGACAAACATGGGTGAGAAGAAGTCCCCGGAAAGATGCTTACCTAGAGCGCACAGGTCCTTGCTAACCATGGGCTTACAGGGTTTGCAACCATCCTGCCGATCTGGCATACCCACATAACGACTGGTCCGTGTGGGCTGAGATGCAGGGGAAAAGTAGGAGGACTTGGCATTTGGAAGAGCTGAAAAACACCAGTACAGACATTAAGACTGAGGCTCCTCTGCTCTCTGCTATTGGCAAAGGGCCCTGAGAATGTGGGACACCTGCCCTCCTATCCATGTCTGCCTCAGCTACCACATTTACTGAGCATTTTTTTCTTCTCCCATGAGCCCACCTCCTACATACACCCTCACCACCTGAGCCCTTCCTACTGTGTCCTCTGGAACCCTTGATACCTGACAATGATCTTTCCTGCATCTTTCCTTTCATTACAGGAGGCTTTTTCCAACTACTTGTCTTAACTTAAAAACTAATTTTTTTCTTCCAAAAACTGTTCTCCCTCTATCCCTCTCAGAGGGTGCTCTCTCAAGGTACTATATAGCCCAAGTACCCAGGTTTGGAAGGTGGGATTGGCAACCTCTTCAGTCCCAATTGTGGCATCCAGCTCATTACCGCTCCACCCTCATCTGGATTGCCTTCCTCATATTCTTAATGCTATCAACCTCCAACCTCTCTATCACTTCCCATTATTCAGTAAAGTATCAGAATGCTAGTTTCTAGACTTGCGCTTCATTGCAAGGCCTGCCATCATCTGGAGAGATTTTGGTACCCTTGTAGATAACCTATCCAGCACCCTCATTCAAAGCTTCTTGACTTCCTCAAATCAAAGGGCTTCAGCTTCCATTCTATTTCAGTCACTCCCTCCCAAGCCAGAATCTCATTATCCAGCAAAACTGTTCCACCTGTCAAAAACAAATTGGGAGAAAACACACACACACACACACACAATAATCCTACTTTTTAAATATGGTCTCCAATTTTTGCAGCCTTCTAACTCAGAGATCTGTCTTTTACCTGGCCTTTGACTTCATCTGGATCTCTCAGTCTGTGTCTCCTCTGCTTTTTCCCTACGATCCACTTCCTTCTGTCTTTAGTCTCTTTTCTATTTAGCTTCAATCCCAGGTCCCACACTTCACCACTCTCTTACCAGTCTTTCCAAGTATCTGATTTCCTTTTCATCACACCCATCTGGCAAAACCCCAACCTCGAAAATGAGTCAACACTCTGCTCCCTTTGTTCTTCCACCAAAGCTGCTGAGTCCTGCTGAAATGAATCACATGGGGTATGCTTCCCTTTGCTAGCTTAGTGCCACTAAAAAAGTCAAGGTATCAAAATTAAACTGGACCCTCAACACTCCTTGGCAAATGCCTTATTTCTCCCTGGGAATTTCACTCTCCAGTTGTCCATGGAGCTACTGCAAACCCTTTCCTTAAACCCTCTATTCTACCACTTCTTGTTTCATACTCATTAGTGAATTTTGCTGTCTCTTTCACTAAAACTATTGAAAACCTGGGGCGCCTGGGTGGCTCAGTTGTTAAGCATCTGCCTTCGGCTCAGGTCATGATCCCAGGGTCCTGGGATCGAGCCCTACATCGGGCTCCCTGCTCAGCAGGAAGCCTGCTTCTCCCTCTCCCACTCCCCCTGCTTGTGTTCCCTCTCTCACTGTCAAATAAATAAATAAAATCTTTAAAAAAAAAAAAAACTATTGAAAAAAACCTATCGGACAGAAACTCCAAGCTCTTGCCTCTCAGCCTGTGAACTAGAACCGAATCCCACCACCTTTCCTCCTCTTCCTGGCAACAGTGGGAGAGTGTCCTAATACTTGTCGTGTTACGGGCTAATCCTTCCACTGCTGCTCTGTGGGTCATCTTCTCTTCCTCAAACACCTGTTTCAATTAACTACCCTTTTCCCCTCCCCAAAAATGTCAACCTTCTCTGCTGACACTCTCCTACTGGTGTTACAACATCCTCAAATCTCTCCCATTCTGAAATTTTAAAGAGATATAATAAACACACAAAAATCCACCTCAACTCTACAACTTCTATACATGTCACTCTCTATTTATTCCCCTTTTCAGCTAAATGTTTATCAAAAGTGTCTATACACTCATTTCCCACCTCTCTTTCTCTTTAACATTCTGTACTATGGATTCTTTCCCAATCTAAGCCAATGAAATTGCTCTTGATTACATTAACAAGAACTTCTTTGATAGCAACCTCATCATCCCCTTTCAAGTTTTTACTTTGACTTGTCTGCAGTATCTGATACTTTGGTAATTCCCTTTGTTATATCATAGTTTCCTTTGTTTTGAATATGCACTCACTTCTTTTCTTCCTACTTCATTCCTTTTTTATTCTGGTTCAAGGAATGCTCTGCTACCCATCCCTAGATACTGGGTTTTCTTCAGTGTTTCAATCTCATCCCCCTTTCATCTCACTCTATACCTGCCCCATGAATAATCTCAACTATTCTCCTGATTTTAGTTATGACCTAGATGTTAAATATTGCCAGATGTGTATCTTTATCCCTGAGCTCTCCTCTGAACACCAGCCCATCTATTTGTTTTTCTACTGGACATCTTCATGTGCATATTCCATAGGGATCTCAAGTTCAAAATACTCAAAAATAATTCAACATACCTTCTAAAATTGCTCCTATACTTTTGTTACTTTACTTAAATAAATGATACCGTTATACACGCAGTTGTCTAAACAAAACTCTGGGCTCACCTTGAAGCCTGCCTCTACAACTCATATCACATATTCCCCTCCAGCCACAGAATCCTGCCCGGGAAATTTCTCCACCTGATGCTAACCTTTAAGCCCCTCATATCTATACTAAAGCTTGCTTGGCTTTCACCTGGGACACCCATTCCCTAACACTCCCAGATCACTCCCATCAGCCATCTGTATAATCATTAACCATTGAATTATCAACAGGATCAGCTTCAGATTTAGACAGTTTGAATACTCAGTGTTTATGTGTACTTTCTGTTTCACTTGTCCTTGTTTTTTTTTCCCTTGGATTATTTAAAATCTCCTTGCCTATGGCATATTTTCTAGTTCCCCTAGAAAGGCACCACACCAGCAAGAAATCCTAGATGTGGAGAGATAGGGAAAAAAATTCAACGTCACAGGCTTTTACTTCAAATGATGTGTTTCGATATCCAGAGCCCCTTAATTTACATGAGTTCCAGGAGGGTAAAACTCACCACATCCATGGTATTGTGGCATCATTGAAGCTGCACCAAACAGAATTGGCCTTGGAACATCCCTACAAGTCAGGGGCCCCTGAACTGGCTTGTTGACATTCTTGTTGACCGCAATGAAGGCTGTCTGGGAGCTTATGACTCCACAATCAATGCTGATTTTCAGCACATCTTTTTTATCTTTTGCTGGAGTATCCCTGAAGCCCATGTCCTTGGCCTGGAGAAAGGACTTGGCAGCAAGGCGGTGAATGGTGAAGCTAAAAGAGAATCATCCCCATGACTTAGGGAAGAGCATGCATGTGCCAGTTACTCAGGGCCCTCAGAAGTTAGCATTGGCAGAAAGAGGAAAATGCCAGATAAAGGAAGAGATAAGACTTGAATGGGTTAGAAAGGTAAAGTGATTGTAGGGACACAACTGAGCCCCCCAAATTAAGAGAAAGAAACCAACCCTCTCAATGATGGCAGAGAAAGAAAGAAGAAAGAAAGAAAGAAAGAAAGAAAAAGAAAGAAAGAAAGAAAGAAAGAAAGAAGAAAGAAAGAAAGAAAGAAGAAAGAAGAAAGAAAGAAAAAAGAAAATAGCAAAGCAAAACAGAATTCTCACTTGTCATCGGGCTTGGGTTGTAGAGAAAATGTCACCCTATTCTCCAAACTCTTGCCCTGGAGTGTGTACTTGAGGTTGACTTCTCCTGTCGCCTCTGCTGGCTACAAAGTAGAGAAGAGTAGACATGATGGAAGGGAGAGGTCACGAAGAGAAAGGTCACAACTGAGGCCGCTCCCCAACCCAACACATTAAAATGTCTGACTAGGAACCAGGTAGCTCAGGAAATCAGAAACCTGAAATTATGGAGAAGCGGGGTAGACTGGCTCCACCCGGCAAGTGTGATCTCTTGATGAGACTCCATTGGTTTTAAGAAAATTGTCCAGAGCAGAGTTTAGGGAAGTAGCTACTCTGATGAGAGGAACAAACATGAATAGGAACTCACAGGCATGGTCCCACTCAAAAGGGCATAGACGATTAACCTCTGACCCTTATAGAGGACAGTCTGTTCTGGTGAAAGCATTTTAGCAGACAGGCCACGAGGCAAATCCCAGCTCACAGAAATATCCTCTACTGCAGGCTGTAGAGCACGTTTCAGGGCCCTAAGAGCCTGGTGGAGGAAAGAGAACAGAATAAGCACAAAATATAATAATGGCAATAATGACCACTGTTAGCTGAATATTTATTACGCACCAGATTCTATGCAACACAGTATATGCTATGTCTATTCCTTAATACTATACTAGGACATGGTAAGGGAGGATAAGGTAAAGGATAACATCACCCAAAAAAGAGGAACTTACAAGTATAAGCAGAGCTAGAAGCTGCCTTCCCTTGTGTATACTAATCAAATGGAGTATCAACGTACCACCTCTACCAATCTACCAGACATACTACAATTGTTCCTTCTTGTTTTCTTTGTCTCATGTGCATGGAGAGTTCCAACCAGTTGAGTTCCAACCAGAAGAGTTCCTCAAGCACACATCTAGAATCTCAATCATGACAGTCAAAATTCTCTGTTTCTCTATTTCTGGTCTTAAACACAAAGCCCTAACCTCTTCCAGCATCTTGTCTCTGGGCTTCCAACTAGTAGGACCAGATGCCATTTCTCCAGAAACTACAGTGGGCCCCTTTTACATAAGGCCCAAAGTAACCCCACTATGTATTATAGCCCAAGGTGTTATGGATATAAGAGTATGAATCCTGGTGTCAAGCTGTTGCTTCTGCCCTTGTGGCAATGTCCCCCCTGCTCCACACTCCTTCTGCATCACCCCTTCTGGACACAGGCCTGTCCCTCACCTTGAACTGCATCCTGTCCTTGCCTGTGATAAATTCTGAAGTGCCACCTGCCACCCGGGCAATGCCTTTTATTAGGCTGGTAGAGGCTCCTTCTCCAATACCAAAGGAGAAACATCTGCAATTATACAAGGAAAAGAGCTTAGAGACAGGCACTAAAGCGTGAAATTATAAAATTAATACATAGTAGTCAAGAATACATAGTCTACTTCCTTGACCAAAAGCATAATAGCTACAATTTGTTGAGCATATTCTATGTTTCAGGAGACCAAATGCCTTAAATTGATGATGCAGTTTAATCATTTCAAGGCTCCTATGAGGCAGGCTTATGCTTCATTTTATGGGTATGAAACTGAAGCCCAGAGAATGTAAGAAATATGTCCAAGATCACACACCTACTAAATGGTAGAGATGACATTCGAATACTAATCTGCCTGACCATAAGATCCCATATATATATATTTTACTGATTCTTGAAGCAGTATATCCTCATCAATTATTTTAATAATAAATCCAAAGAATGGGTTAATTGGACAGTGGTGAAGTGGTGAATTAGGACAAAATAGACACTATCATCACTGCGCGACTAACATTGTACTGGAACCATATCCACCCTGGCAAGACCAGTCTTAAGGTGGGAAAGAGTTCTAACTGGAGAGTTCTCTCCCTGCCATAATCCGTGTGCACCAAGATTTTTAATCACAATTTGGTTTCCCAAACAGAACTGTCTATAAAAAGAATGTGTTGATAATACTAATACAAGCATTTTTAGAAGGCATGACAAGGAGACTTTTCATTGTAAATTAATACACTGGAATTTTTGGCTTATGTATCCGTCTCTTTTGAATTAGGTTAGTGTGAGTCATCATCCCCAATTCTAGTGATGTCAGCATCAGGATTAATATTCTAAACTTGAAGGGCTAAGAACTGAACTTCTAATTATGGTAACCTACCTTTGGCCATGCCCCCAGAGACCATAGCCTGCCAGCATCTTGATATTTATCACCTTCAAATTTCCAACACAATCTTGCAACTGAAGCCTACATTCCTTATGGCTTACTAAAGGGCATTTATGTCTATGTTTAAGTGTTTTATGTATAAAACTAAAGCTAAGAAATATTTATTGATGGCTAACAATATGCTTAGAACTTACTTAAGTGCTTCTTGTGGGTGATAATAAAGAATACAATTATAATAAATGCAAAAAATTATATAGCACATATTTTGTGTCAAGCAGAGCTCCTAATGCTTTACTTAGGTATACCCTTTGAACCCTCACAGTAAACCCATAAGGTTAAGTACTGCTATTATTCCCATTTTCAAGTGAGGAAACTAAGACTTAGGGAGTTTAGTTGATTTATCCAAACAGCCAGCAAGCAGCAGAAGTAGAACTTAAATATATGATTTCTGACTTAAAGTAGAATGACATAAGGACCCTCTGCTCACAGCAATGCCAAAAAGCTGTTTCAGCCAGTAGAGAACTGGAAAAGCCATATACAATATTCTTAATAATCTTTTTGAAAACATCAAATGGTTACCAAGACAAGAGGAATCTATGGGCCACGACGTGGGAGAGGAGGGAGGCAAGAGAGATGAGCCTGGCATCTGGTATCCTGTTACCCCTTAAAGCTAATGCCAAGTACAAAATGGATGGCTCAAAGCATGGAAAGCCAAGACTTGGACTTTCCAAAAAGAAGGTGCCCTTACAGACACCCCAGGTTTTTATAAAACAACCCTGTAGAATACAGCCCAGAGGTAGAGGTGAATCTGAAATAAACCAGCCATCAAATGACTGAAGCTCATTTGACTCTAACCGGACTCAGATTATCTGCTTCTAGTCTAGCAACGCATCAGAAGCAAAGAGTACATCCTTGCAGAGGGAAGATAACATCGTCTAGAGGCTCAAAGAACTTCTACAACTTTTCATATAAAATATCTGACACTAATGAAGGAATAGAAAAATCCCCAAATATTGGGAAATTATACACTATACTTCTGAATAACATAGGCTTTAGAAAATCATAATGGTAATTAGAAAAATCTTCTTAAGTGGATGTCACTGGACACTGACAGATCCAGATTTAAGATTCAGATGTAGATATGCTTAAATTTAAGGATCTAAATACATATATTAGAAAAGAAAAAGAAGTCTCAAAATCAACTACCTAAGCATCCATCTCCAGAGGTTAGAAAAAGAACAGCCAATAAACCCAAAGAATTTATATGGGGGCGAATTTAAAGGGAAATAATAAAGATAAGGGCAAATATTATTGATGTAAAAAACTACCATAGAATAGACAGGATTTAAAAATCTCAAAAGTGCTGGTGCTCTGAAAAGATTATTAAAATTGACAGGCATTTAGGACAAGGAAAAAAACAGAGAAGACACAAATAACCAACATCGAGAATGAAAAGGTAATATATCACAGATTCTACAAAATTTAACAACAGCATAAAGCAATACAGCATAATTTTTTATGCAAAAAAAATTGAAAATTTAGATAAAATATACAAACGCCCACAAAAAGCAAAAACATATAGAAGTATGAATAGTTCATTTCAATGAAAGAGATTTAAAAACTTTCCCACAAAAAAGAAAGCCTCCTATCAACTTCTAGTAAACATTTAATAAAGAAAATCTTTCAGATAATAGAAAAATAGATGACTCTTCTCAGCTCATTTTATCATGCTGGCATAACATTGATTTCAAAACCTGACAAGAATATTATAAGAAAATACATGTCGATATTTCTCACAAAAATAGATTTAAAAATCCGAAACAGGTATTCGCCAACTGAATCCAAAAATACATTAAAAAGGTTAATACATCACCACTAATTTGGGTTTATTTCAGAAAGGCAAGATCTAGTCATTATAATTCACACTACTCATTATAATTCTAACACTAGTCACTATAATTCACACATTAAAAGAAAAAAGGATAAAATCATACACTTATCTCAATAGATACATAAAATGCATTTGATATAATTCCACAACCACTCATTGTTTTTGTAAAAAAAAAAAAAAAAGAGTAAGGAACTCTCAAAACAGAAATAAAATATCCTTAATCTGATAAAGGATATCTACAAAAAAAACCTATAGCCAACAATCACACTTATTTTTTTTAAAGCTTTTATTTATTTTGAGAGAGAGAGAAAGTGAGAGAGGGAACACAAGCAGGGGGAGTGGCAGGCAGAGGGAGAGAGAGAAGCAGGTTCCCCGCTGAGCAGGGGGCCATCCCAGGACCCCGGGATCATGACTTGAGCCAAAGGTAGACACTTAACCCACTGAGCCACCCAGGCACTCAACAATCACATTTATTGATGCAGTGTCGAACATGTCCCCTCTGAAGGCCAAAATAAGATAAGAATGCTAGCTATGACCATATCTATTCAGGTTTGTACTAAAACTCTTTCCCAGGGCAATAGAGAAGGGAAGAAAAATAAATATGTAAGGACTGGAAAGGAAAAAAATAAGGCTGACATTATTTGCAAACATGATTATCCATAGAAAATCTACAAGAATCTACAAATATACTATTAGAATTAATATTTAAATAAGGCAAAGTCACTGAATAAAAAGTCAATGTAAATTTTAAAAGCTACTAGAATCAATTTCTACATGGAAATAAGTGCCCGGTAAATAAAATGTTTCAAAAATACTATTTAAAATAGGGGGGAAAAATCACCTAGGGAAAAAATCTAATAAAAAAGGCATGAAGACATCTACACAGAGAATTAGAAAACATTATAGAGAGATTTGGTGTGTATTGTTGGATTAAGGAAATGAGTATATTTACTAATTTTATGGGAAACCAGATTTTTCACCATGGAGGAAAGAAAACACAAATATGGAATAGAAGAAAAAAGAGAAAGAACGTTGTCAGTACCTTGGAATTAGGGGCATCAGTAAAAAAAAAAAAAAAATTAACATTCACTGGTTCAGTCTGCCAAAAATGCCTACCATCAATAACAGCCCAGTAACAAAGAGTTACACCTAATACTCAAATATTAACTTCTATTAATCATTTTCACTAAAAGAAATGAGGCTTCTTGTAGAAATAGCTGGCTACAGGAATGGGAAAGTACAGGTGAGTCTGAAACTCTTTTTGTAAGAAAGAAAGAAATCTTCAAAAATCAAAGAGACACACAAAAAAAGACATAGGAGCAAGTGAAAAGCAGCCTCCACTGGTCAAATGTGGAATTTTGAGAATCTAAATGAAAAATGAAAGTGACAAATCTTAAAAAATTGAAAAATAATGAAAAAAATCCAAAAATATATTGATATAAGAAAAAGAAGGGAGGGAGGGAGAGAAGGAGGGGGAAGAGAAACTCTTCTTTACAGTAGGATGCCAACTAATCTGGAAGAGTTGACAGAATTTAAAAATCACTATTTATAACCACTGACAGTAATAACATGCCAATCATCATCAATGAATGCTGAATCTACTGACTAAATATTTGTCGAGAACAGGATGTTTACAAAATTTCAAAGTTATCTGTCAGGTACCAGCTTTAACAAAGTGGTCAAACTTATCACCAGGCCCAACATTACTTTTGGAATATTTCTTCCTGAAATATTTAATATTACCCCAAACATGAATTTAAATAGTCAAACAAACATAAATTGAGATTCTACAAAAATAACTAGCTAGTACTCTTTCAAGATATCAGCGTCGTGAAAGATAATGAAAAGCTGAGGATCTCTCCCAGAGTGAAGAAGATTAAAAAAAACATAACAATGAAAATATTTGGTCTTCGATTTCCTCCTGGAACAAAACCAAAGACAAAAATCTATACAGGACATTATTAGAAAACTTGTTGGGGCGCCTGGGTGGCTCAATCCATTAAACATCCAGCTCTTGATTTTGGCTCAGGTCATGATCTCAGGGTCTTTGAGAGTGAGCCCTGTGTCAGACTCCGTGCTCATTGGGGAGTCTGCTTTTCTCCTTCTCCCTCTCCTTCTGCCCCTCCCCCCACTCATGCACTCTCTCCAGCCTCCCCCTCTCTAAAATAAAGAAGTAAATCTTTTTCAAAAATTTCCTTAAAAAAAAAGAAAACTTGGCAAATATAGCCAGCCTGTCTTTAGATAGTAATAGTATCATCTTGGGGCGCCTGGGTGGTTCAGTCGTTAAGCGTCTGCCTTCGACTCAGGTCCTGATCCCAGGGTCCTGGGATCGAGCCCCGTATTGGGCTCCCCGCTCAGCAGGAAGCCTCCTTCTCCCTCTCCCACTCCCCCTGCTTGTGTTCCCTCTCTCGATGTCTCTCTCTGTCAAATAAATAAACAAAATCTTAAAAAAAAAAAAGATAATAGTATCATCTCAACATTAAATACCCTGAATTTATTAGTTTTATTGTGGTTATTCATCAGGACGTCCTTGTTCTTAGAAGATGAGTGCATTATTATTTGCATATGAAGAGTTACAGTATCTGTGGCTTGCTCTCAAATATTTCAGACCAAAAAAAATAGGTGAAGCAAATGTGGGAAAATGTTGACATCTGGTGGAAGAGTATATTGTTCTATTCTTACAACATCTCTATAGGTTTAAATTTTTTAAATAAAACATTGGAAGCACATATTAGAAGAACCAAGAAAGGCCTCAATATGGGGAGGGTATGTGCTATGGTGAGCGCTGTGAATTGTGTAAGACTGACGAATCACAGACCTGTACCCCTGAAACAAATAATACATTATATGTTAATAAAAAAAAGGCTTAAATAAACGGATGGACATACCATGTAAATAGACTAAAATACTCAATTTGGTAAGTACTAAATTCTCCCAAAACTGATCTATAAAATCAATGCAATTCTCTTTTTTTAAGTGATCTCTATGCCCAACTTGGGGCTCAAACTCACAACCCCAAGATCAAGAGTTACATGCTCTACTGACTGAGCCACCCAGGTGCCCCTAAAGTTAATGCAATTCTAATCGATATCTCAACAGCCTCCTTTTTAGGTAAAAACTGACAAGATAATTCTAAAATACAAATATAAAGAGTCATGAATAGCTGAGACAATCTTGAAAAAAAAAAACAAAGTTGAGTACTTACTCTATTGGAAATCAATATTTATCAAAAGGCTACATAAATTTATCTGGTATAGTTCTGGCACATGTCTAGATAAATAGACTAATGGAATGGAACAAAGGATCCAGAAATAATCAATACATGTGTAGAAGCTTATTTGTGACAAAAATGACACTGTACATCAGGGAGGAAAGGACAAACTTTTCATTAAATGGTACAGGGTCAATTTGATATCAACATGAAGAGATGATAAAAATTGGCCCCTGCCTTCCACAATGCATAAAAATAAAATCCAGGCAAACTATACATCTAACTATAAAAGAAAAAATGATAAAACTTCTAGAAAATAACAAACAAAAATAGCTCATGACTTTGGGTAGGGAAAGACTTTTTAACAGGACACAAAAAACACTAACTGTAAAGGTAAAGACTAAAAAATTATATTACAATGAAGAAAAACTATTAATAGATATCATTCTGAGAGTGAAAAGAAAAGCTATAGAATAGGAAAAAATATATTTTCAGAACATATTAACAAAGTCCTTGTGTCTTGACCACAGACTGAACTAAACATCAGTAAAAAAAGAAAGTCTAACAGAAAAAAAAAGAAAATAGGAGAGATTTGAAGGTACATCACAAAACAGGACATCCAACTGGTTAATAAATATGAAAAGGCACTCAACTCCATTAGTTACCAGGAAAATGCAAATTAAAACCATAATGAGATACCACTTTACACCTACAAAATTAGTTAAGGTTTACAAAGACAAACAATGCCAAATTTTGGATAGGAATCTGGGCAACTAGAACCCTCATACAATGCTGGTATGAATTAAAATAGTACAATAACTTGGAAAACTATCTGGCACCCCCAATAAATTCTACAACTATGTCAACGCAAAGAAATTTTGTGTGTATATATATATATGAAATAAGTATGTATACATGCATATGTGTGTATGTGCAAAAAATACATATATAAGAATGCTAGGATATTCATAGAAGAATTATTTTTAGCAGCTAAACCGAAGTCGATCAGCAGTAGAATTAATAAATAAATTATGGAATAATCACCCTATGGAATACTACACACCAATAAAAATTAACCACAGCTCCATGCAAAATATGTATGAATATCAACATACTGCTGAGGGAAAGAAGATACACAGAAACAAAAACATATTGTATAACCCATTTATTTTTATTTAAAAACAAAAATAAACCATGGTGTTATAAATTAGGAGAGCTATTTCCTTTGGAGAGGAAAAAGTTAGTAGTGATCGAAGTGATACAGTGATCAGCTGTATACTTATGATTTGTGTAGCTTTATGTTTTACTTTGATAAAAATGTTTATAGTTTAAAAAAACTGTCTTACTATTTAATTTTTGTTTCCATTCTGGTTTAGAAAGAATAAAGGGCAATGACTTTGTGGTGTTACTGATGTTATTTAGAAAATTACTTTTATCTTTTAGTGGAGAGGGGGAAAATGATATAGAAAAAAACTTGTCAGCTAGTAAAACTAAAATTCTTCAATCACTCTATCCTCCACAAGGAATGTCAACACTGGTACCATGCGGATTAGACTATAGGTGGCATTACCTGGATCAGTCACCCAGAAATCACGTTCTCTTCCTACCTGTGCCTCAGCCTGTTTCTCTTGACTTCGTTAATTATATTAAACGTGTCAGTAACTTCTCCATCTGTGAAGACAAAAAGCTGTCGAGGAAAGAAGACATTCATCAAATCTCTGTGAAGATCATTTTTAAGATACCGGAATTCACCCTTGGAAAAAAATCAACCATTTTGTTGCAGAGACTGATGCCTCCTCAGACTGGCATGAGGGCCCTAATTTTCCACGGTCACTTGCACCATGTTCTCACAAGGTTTGTTGGGCACCTGGGATTTTCCTCACCTCCCCCTTCTCGTCTCATCTAAGGCTTTTGTGGAACTCTGCAAAAGGACCTCCATCACCCATAGCCCACAGCACAGACTAAGGAAGAAGAATTCTATTACATGCTTCTTGTCTTTTTCTCCTTACTATATGATAGAAGACTCTGAATTATATATCATGTTTTAACAATCCTACAATGAAGCTCAGGGGTATGGATTTTTGAGCAGAGATTTCATTCCCTCTCTCGCCTCCTATCAGCTCTCTTCCAGTTCCTACCTGAAGGGGGTGGCCCGCAATGGAAGGTTCCCTGTAAATGATCTGGAGCGGTGTCAAGATTTCCGTGCCCCCCAGGTCAGCCTGCATAAGCTTAACTCTCCTCAGTGCCTCTTCCATGGTCTGCTGAGTGTACTGCACACTATTCCTGAGAAACAAACAAACATGCCCAGTGACATGATAGCTGTTCAACATCATGCAGTACCAAGTCCCTGAACTGAGATGCCCCCACTGGAAACAACGTCGCCTGAAATACCCAATGCCAAGGTCAACTGTGGAGTAACCCACTTCAGCAATCTAGTCCTTTCTTTAAAGTATCTTTTTGGACTCCCAATGGGCTTTCTAGAAACTTACGGAAAGAATGCCTCATAGGAACTTCCAAATCCATAGACATTGAAATAACAGCCTATAGGCAAACTCTTCAGCAGCAAAAGCAGTGTTTCCTGAAGGAAGAGAGTACGGGGAGACAGTGAGAGAGGATCCTCTCAGACACAGAGATGCTGTCAGTCTAACTCTTGAGAGAGCAGACCTTCACCCACTTCATGAGTCCAGGCCCTTATAGTCCAAGGCTAGCCTCAGAGTGGTCATGGTAGATGTAGCTCAGATGGGGAACACACCCAAAGTACCAGATGGGCCCTAATTTAACTCCTGAGATTCATCCCCATTTGTGCATGTAACCAGAAAGAGAGAGGAACTAGTTTTACCTTGGCTGCCTCTATGCGCAGCTGAGATTTATCCTGTTTACTTATGGGGCATTGCATACTTCCTGAGCGGTCCATGAGGAAGACAAATTCTCCACAGATAACTGGTGACTGAGCTTCTGGGATATTTGGGTAGAAACACACCATCGCAGACGGATCTTTCATGAAACCATCTACTTAGAAAGGATAAGGACACTGTAAGATCTAACAATTGTAAATATCTATGCCCCTAACATGGGAGCAGCCAATTATATAAGGCAATTAATAACAAAAGCAAAGAAACACATCG